CTCTTTCTTTTTAGATTTACTAATTTTGGATTATCTCTTTACCATTAATGCTATTTTGCAAATGGGACAGAAATGTTTCTTTCGGCAATTCTTCCATTCAGTAGCAAAAGTTGACTATCTTACATTACGCCATGGCTTCATTTCGGTAGGCATCACTTTCATCTTCTTCCAACACTCCTATTTCAAAATATCACACGTTTTGATGCATAGTTATATATGCAAAAAACATTAAATTACAAATAATATGAACCAAATATAGCTAGTAATTTTCAAATGATTTGGTTGTAAGTTTGTAACCAAACAAAATCATTAATAATAATGCATGTATTAGGGTAGGTTGTCTACATAACACCCCTTACATGGTTCTTCTCCGAACCCTGCGTAAACGCGAGATACCTTGTGCACCGGGCTGCCAATTTTTGCTGTCTCACTAATTTTTTTTTCCCTTTTATTTTTACGCGATCAAAATGTGCAGGCTCATTTATCTTCAAACAATGCCTTCAATTTTCAGAAGTACATCGAACGATCTTTAGAAGATGATTTTAAAGTCGTTGTTGGCATCAGGTACGTACTTACTCCAAATGATTTATAATTTACACTCATTTCTAATTCGATATATAATGAAGGAAACATTATTTTTAACGAGGGAGACAAGGTTTACAATAAGTAAACTTTAGTTGAAATACCAAGTGAACTTTCGGCAGAATTTTTTTTGGTCGTCTATGAAATTTAATTGACCAAAATCGATCGAAAATTGCGACCGACTCCAATCGCTATTTATTACCAACCAACTAATTTCGACGGATTAAAGTCGGTTAAAAATCAATCGGTTTTTTCGATCGATTACTATATATCGATATTTCTGGACAGTTTTTCACAAACCTTCTAGTAGTGACTATGCCTTGATCAAAAGCTAGTTGAATTCAATAAATGAATCCTTCCATATACGAAATGATTTATATATACCTTGACACGTACTGTCCTCTTATTCTTTACTGAAACAGCCCTTTCATGTGGTTATTGGTGGTCATCTTCTTGCTGGTTGACGTCCATGGTACGTTTGTCTACTCTGCATCTCCTTATTTTTGTGTTGAATAGTATGACTATCTGATTTAAAAACTTAAGCAATTAAATAAAGCACGTAATAGGATTTTTGGCTAAATTTATAAGTTAGGTCAAACTGAATTATAAGCAATTTTTGAATCATCTACGCGTTTGTTAAACATTCAATGTATTTATAAGCTAAGCGCTTATAACCCAAAAATAGCAAAAAATCATAAGTTGGTCATCCTCATCTTATGACTTTTCAACTTATAAACACTTTTACTTTGACCAAAACTTTTACTATTTTATCCTTATTAATATTTCTAATTCACAAAATACCTTTCCCAAAACAAAACTCCTAACTTTCTCTTCGTTTCATAATCGTCATTTTACAAAATACTCTTACACTTTTAATCTTTTGTAAAAGTAGAAAAGAAGAAATTTAAGGGCAATTTAGTCATCTTAACAAGAGAACAACTTATCAGTTACCAAATGTATTAACTGTTTATTATCAGTTTCAGCACTTAATTATATTCAAACACATCTATAGGATCAATTTTTACGTACTTAAAAATACTTTTCAACAGTTCAAGTTTATCAGCTATTAACAATTAACTAACCCAAACGGCCTTCACATATATACTTTTTATTCTTTAATTATATAATGTCACCAGATAGGTATCAGTTAATTAAGCTCTCAAAAATACTTGTTTTTAATTTCTAGCTGAAACTTTATGTTTATTAATTTAAACAGGTTGGAACGTCTATCTTTGGGTATCATTTCTCCCGCTCATTGTAAGAATACATAAACCTGCTCTTACTTAGTTTTATTTTAAAGTTTCATGCCATGTAGAAACTATTCATTACTTGCCGTAATTCAAGATTTGTTAATTAATGGTTGATTTTATAGACAGTGTTAGTGATTGGGACTAAGCTGGAGACGATTGTTGCCCAAATGGCTCTTCAACTAGAAACTCAACAAGACAATGACATCATCATAGGATCACCAACGGTCCAACCTAATGATAATCTTTTTTGGTTTAATCAGCCTCAATTTGTCTTGACCCTTCTACATTATACCCTTTTCATTGTAAGCATGATTTCTCTTTTCACTTTATCTTTATTAGCTCAATAAGCTATAAATAGGTTTTATGGATTTAACTAATTAAGATTTTAAGAGTACAAAATATTTGTGTTATGTCATCACCTATAGGTAATTACATATAAATCTATATAATAAGTATCAATTGATAATTTAGTAAAAATAATAACAACTTATTATAATAGGTTAAACTATAATAATAATAATGTATAAAAATATTTAATTTATAGTAATATTGGTGTATGTAACTTGTACATACTGATAGTGAAAAGAACTTTAACTGTAACAGTATGTTTTAACATGTTGTAGCAGGTAACTTGTTTTATTTTTCAAGTTATTAATTCTATTTTTCATGGATGGCTACTTATAGTTATCCTACAAAAAAATTACACGATTAGTGCATAAAATTTAAACTCATAGGCTAGAGATAAAGGCATTAAATTTTCATTTTTTTTTGTCCTGACAATTAACTCATATCTATTTTCTTTGTATTTCATGACTAATTGATTGTAGAATGCATTTGAGCTGGCCTTCTTTATTTGGGTGACGGTAAATCTCTCTGCCCTAATTTTGGCCAAACTAATCTCATTCAGCCAACAAGTAGAGTAACTTGTGCTTAGACAACTAATTTTATTAGTTTTTGCTAAATATTTCAGTGGCTATTTGGAATAAAATCCTGTTATCACGAGCATGTGGAGATCATCGTTATCAGGGTGGTATTGGCGTAAGTCATAATTCGATTCACCTGTCTTAATCAGAATTATTTACTCATACCCCCAAGTTTCAATTTATATTATGGTATGTGATTAGTTACGGACTTTTAAAATTTGTGCTAAAACTAGCACATCAATTTATGTGATTATAAATTATTTCATTAAAGGCAAAATGAGAAGTTTATAACTAAAATTATTTTTAAATAATAAAAAATATATATCATTATTTTTTAGGCAGACCGAAAAGAAAAATACGACACATAAATTGGAACGAAAGGAGTAACATTACTGTATTCAAAGATGACATCTTGCCAAAATAGAATGATTTATTGCATTGTATGGGCCGTGCAGAGTGATGGTTCAAGTACTTTGTAGCTACATTACTTTGCCTCTCTATGCCCTCGTTACTCAGGTTAGTCATCCAATAACATTGTTTCTATCTCAGACAAGTATTTATAGTGATTTCTTATTTTGTACCAAAAGTAATACTATATCTGATACACTATCATCATTACATAGCATAGTGCTTCTGAACTAAGTGGTTCTTAATCTTTTTGGCTCCAAAACATCTATGACAACAAAACTAAGGAAAACAACATATGATGCATCACACTTGAATTCATAAATTTGAAAGTACAATAAAGTCTATTATTAATTTGTTCAAATTTTAGATCCACCTCTGTTATTATTAAACTGGATCTTGCTTCCATATATTTTTGGTTGGTCCACCAACTAATTTCTTTCCTTGAAATTATTCATGATCGAGGGAATCCGAGATATCTAAGCATATGTACCTCTTGCTACCTCTTTGAATTGAATGTTAGGTTAATCGATGATGGAAATATAACTAAACCTTGCGATTACCTTTTCTTATTACATGTTAAGTTACATCACATATGAAGTTCTTCTTGAACTATGATTGGTCTGTTCTCTGAGAAAATAGGTTAAATTTATATGCACTAACAATGTAGATAACTTCTACATTAGTAGTGTATTTTAATATGATAATAATGTAACAAGTTTTTTATCTTACTGCATAGTTTACCAATTAACCTTACTATTAGAGTTACTTGTTGTTGCAAGTCACTTTAACCTGATAATGTAAGAATATTTTATACCATGAGTGATCAAAAGTTGAACTTTAGAGAAAGAATTAATGTTCCTTAATTAACTCTTAGAACATTTCTTTTAGATGGGTTCACATTTCAAAAGAGCATTATTGGAAGAACATATAATGCAAGCCATAAAGCAATGGCACGCACAAGTGAAAGATAAGAAGAAGCTGCAGCAGCAGGAGGAGGAGGCAGGTGCAAAGTTGTCAACAAACAAGAGAGCAATTACCACAGATCAGTTACCAGATATAGAATTCTCCTCACACAATAGAGTGCCAACTGTAGCTGAGTTCAGTGCTAGTGCTCATGGAATTCATGAGATCTCTGAAGAACATGAACATCAACCAGTACAAGTAACCATAGTCCATTAAAATCAATCAAAAATAGGTGTCGACGTTGTTAGTCCTAGTTAGTGATTGAAGGAGAAAGAGAATATAATTTTTAATTAATACAGTACAGAAGGAAAGACTTTCACTAGAGCCTAAAATTGATTATATCCTCAGCTTTTGATTATTTATTTGTTTATTTAAAAATATAAAGTTATTAATTTAACTTGTAAAAATCTGATTACGTGTGTGTTCAAGAAAGGTTATCTTCTCATTATTTTCAAAAAAAAAAAAAAAAAACTTTTTGTGCGAAATTGAATGTGACATGGTTTGGCGTTATAAATTGGATAGAATCTTGGCAGATATCCTTAAATAATAATAAGCTCAATAATTACAAGAATAACTAGAGTGAGGTATTTAAGTGATCAACACATACATAAATAGGACTAATCTATCCTTGAAAATAAATACAGAAGATGTACACTAAATAAGTATTATCACCCCCAAGGAATGTGTGGGTAGCAAGAACACAGAGCTTGTCAAGAGGCCCCTGTTTTACGTTCCAAGTTAACAAAACTCAAATCATTTTTACCATCGTACCAAAATTGCAAGGAGATCATACCTCGTCCACTTGGTACACCTGTGGCACAACCTGGCTGTCACAACATCCTCCACCCAGAATAATAATAAAACTCAACAGGAGTAACACATTTCAAAAAATATTTAGTCTATAAAATTAGTCGAACTATGTAACAAGATTTACAGGCTATCGGCCCCTTGTATGAGGCAAGAGGAGGTTCTCAATGAATAAAAAGGGCTCCTCTCTATTGCTACTGTACATCCAGTGGTAATTTACCAACTGGTGATACCAAAACTTATAAGAATTAGCTAAGCTATCCAAATGTACAATACATTGGTGAGTAACCTTTCAAGGTATCACCTACCAAATGGAATAGAAAAAATACGACCGGGCACTGGTCAGAATCCAGATCACAGAATACAAATTTGGAGAGTTAAGCACTCACCAATCACGGAAATTCTTAAGTTCCAGCATAGGAGTTAGAAGAGTACTGATGGCAGATGCATGCTCATCTCCGAGTCAAAAAGATGGATTCACCGAATCACTGCAGAGAAGATCTTACAAACAATTTATCATGTGGTAGAGTACACATGTTCTGCACTAGAAGCAACCATTATTCCGCCAATGTGAAATCTGCACCTTATTCAGTGTCGGAATCAATGCTTAGATACAATCTGGGTCTTACAGAACGACGTTGGCGAGGGAAATTAAAAGGACCATCTGATCTTTCTCTGCTGCTTGGACCATTTGATCTTTCTTTACTGCTCTTCATTGATACTCCGTCATTCATACCAAGAAGCAATGAAGCTGCATATAGAGTAGCATCAGTAAACAGGTTCAGATAACTTTAAATAGATGAACAAAGAAAGAAGAATACTTCTGACAGCATCTGTTATCTCACACATAAACATCTACCATGCACATTGGAATTACTTCAAAAAGTAATAATAGCATGAGAATTCCAAAATACTACTTTAGGCGTGTGTATGTGCCTCGTATGAGTTCTCAACACATATATGCGTCCAAACATGAGTAATCACAGTAATCGATAATTATGGTCAATAACATAGTCATGCTTGTTGCAATTATAAGTACTAGCTCACAATGTAAAGGCACAAATACATGTGAACGTTGACATTGCTCAGCTTTCTCTTTCTATCTCCAACAAAATATCCATAAACAGGGAAATACCAGTGTCAGCCACTGAGTCCAAGGAAGAGTTTTTGGTTTGCGACGGCTGCCCAGAGCTCAACCCATTCGCAGCTGCAGAATCACCACCAGCGCCAAGACTAAGTGAAATCCAATCCTCAGTATGAACGCCATTTCTCACACCTGGCCGATGCCTCGTATCAGCCTCAACTGATGCATCCGATGGTCTAGTAGGAAGAAATATCTGAAGTGAGGGATCATTACCACCAAATGATAGGGGATTATTAACTAAACCATCATTGATTTCAGCATTCAGACGATCAACAGAAGATTCGGGAAGAAGAGCACAAGATCCAACGCCAGTATCTGCAGCTAATGAGTAGCCGTTGATAGAGCTTGGACAGTTAATAGAACCATGCTGCATATCTACTAAAGAACCTGAGACATCAGTATCTGAACCAAATAACTGAAAGCTCGGGCCCCCCTGGTTAACAGTAGGCAAAGGCCACATATCCATCCCATATTCATCATCATTTGCACTGAACAGCCCCAGGCATGAATTCCCATCATTAACAACTGCATGGTTGTCATGGCAAGAATCTGAAATTCCTTTAGGTCGACCAGGAAAAGAGACTATAGGTGCATCAGCATGATTGTTACTATGAATAGATGTAGAAGAGATAAGTGGCTCGTTTTCTCCGTCAGAATCGCTTAGGACAATAACTTCAGCATCTCCTGAGGGTGCTGGGGGATTACGGCCGTTAAAACCATATCTCGGACCAAAATTTGGGGATATGGTTTCAAGCTCAAACCCATTGTTAGAATTGTCAATGTTAACATCCCCATCCTGATTAACACTGAGATCTTCACCTTCCTTGCCGCTACCAGTGGCACTGCTGCTCATGGCAATGATATCCTGAATCTGATTTTCAAAATTCTCTCTTACACTATTTTCGTATGGCAATGTCTGCATATCTACAGGTTTGCTAATTTCCCACAAACCATTTCTGTTCTTCTTCAACCCAACTTTTAGTCCACTGTGGCTTTCAGAGCCTCCTTCCTGTTTAACATGCTTAAGAATTCCAGGCTTGGTTTTTGGCTCTATATCCTGAGATTCTATGAGATTCCCATCAGGTAAGTGCCACCGCCCTAGATCCCCAAGATTCCTTCGGTCGCCTTCTGCCTTTGCACGCCAAGAACCATCAGGTTTTACTTCAATCTCAGTCACTTCTTCTCCGCAAGTTCGCAGCTACACTCGAAAAGCCAAAACAAAAAGAAACACAAACAAGAATTGAGGTTAACAGAGTTAAGATCACAAGCAACACTAGCAATACCTGGGAAGTGAATAATAAATGAGACCAACAAGGTTAAAACAATGTATGATAACAGGAAACAATTACCCATACCTGAGAAGTGATCTGATTAAAATATGGGTCTATAATCACATGCTCCAGGGAGTAGTTCTTGAGACAGATAGGGCATTGCCACTAGATCATATGAACAACATTTGTTACTAAATATATCAGCAGATACAAAAGACATTTTTATCTGAATTAAGCTGATAGAAATTTTGATAAGGGTCCTAGATGCTTGCCTTCCTCGACCTTTGATTCATTTCAACAAAGACTTCAAGATCAAAGCAGCCCATATGCACACAAGGTTTGAATCTTCCGGCGACTTTCATTCTTGAACCACTCATCTGTAAATAGATGCAGACCAGAATGTCAAACAGTGCGATCCGTGTTGTGTCAAAAAAGTGGTAAACATGCAAGAAACCATCAAAGAAAATAAATCAATCCAATGAAAGCAAATTATTCAATCAACAATACCTCAATTTTATAAAATAAAAAAAAAATAGTAGGAGGAGGTGGAGTCGTGCTGAATTTTTTTTTCTTTTGTGATAAATGAGATATCCCCAAGGGCCAGCTGGCGCAAAGTTCAAAACTTAGTGGATGATAGGTCCAGCTCTCTACCCTTCTCCAATTAAATACCAGACTTTTGCATCTACCCCTCTAATATGCTTTAAAATGCGCTACACAATTGCTCTGATCACATATGAAGGGACTTCTTGGTGTAAGCTACTGCCATTTTGAAACAGCACAAGCTCTCAGCTTGACTGCCTATCTCAAACCAAACTAAAATGGGAGTCGGGGGGAATAAAAATCTATCCTATGAAATAGAATTCTTTATGTGCGATGTAACTGTTTGCAACAAATTATAAATTGCAACCACAATATAAATATGAAGAAACATAATTTTATTCATAAAAAGATGCGGGTACAATTCTATTTATTCCCTTGATTCTTGTCTCCTGATTATCTCCGTGATTCGAGGGCTAGAAAAGCGTGTTTCTCGAACGTAGGATGGTGCGGGCTTTCATGGATTTATTTGATATCCATGAAGTATGTTGTGGATCTTCTTGAAGTATTTGATTATCAAGAATTATCCGGCCACTTCTTGATCTCTTTGTGAATATCCCGTGAGTTTATGGGATTTTCGAGATGATCTCCATTTTTTAGATATTTTTTAAAGGATTATGTAACCCCTTTTATAACCCTTTTTATAAGAGTGACCTAGGGTTTTGGTAGAGTAGCCTCTAAGCAACACTGACAGACTCCTAGAAGTTCAAGAGGTCTTGTAGTATCTTGAATTTAGGATTTAACTCGATCCATTAAGATTTCGATATCTACAAGTGCCCCCTACTTCAAGGTTAGTCGGGGTGTAGTATTGGGGAAACTTGAAGACGAGACTTGAAGTACCCGATCATCACAATAGAAAATTTTGAAGCCTGTAGTTTCGATTTGCAGGAGGAAGAGATGAAGTGCAGAACTGGTCCCACTGGGCGTGCCAATTTGTTTGCAACAAATTATTTGTGATACAAAAATAAATTGCAACCACAATATAAATATGAAGAAACATAATTTTATTCATAAAAAGATGCGGGTACAATTCTGTTTATTCCCTTGATTCTTGTCTCCTGATTATCTCCGTGATTCGAGGGCTAGAAAAGCGTGTTTCTCAAACGTAGGATGGTGCGGGCTTTCATGGATTTATTTGATATCCATGAAGTATGTTGTGGATCTTCTTGAAGTATTTGATTATCAAGAATTATCCGGCCACTTCTTGATCTCTTTGTGAATATCCCGTGAGTTTATGGGATTTTCGAGATGATCTCCATTTTTTAGATATTTTTTAAAGGATTATGTAACCCTTTTTATAACCCTTTTTATAAGAGTGACCTAGTGTTTTGGTAGAGTAGCCTCTAAGCAACACTAACAAACTCCTAGAATTTCAAGAGGTCTTGTAGTATCTTGAATTTAGGATTTAACTCGATCCATTAAGATTTCGATATCTACAGTAACCATAGCATTTTAGCAGCTGCTTAGGTGAAGATAGTGAAACTTATTTGGAGAATGCTCAATTTAAGTATTAATCAGTTTCTTCTTTTTGGCGCAGAGACAGAATGAATACAGAGAAGAAGAGACTAACACCACAGAGAAAGTGGAGAAGAGATCATACAATAGTTAAAGCATGATAAAAACACCAAAAAGGGGCAGAAAGTAAAAGAGGAATACAACGTCGGCATTTGCTTACAGGGCATCGAAGATTGACTGGAATAAAATCAGCAACCACTTCAAGGTCACTGTCGCTGTCAGCATTTTCAGTGGCAGTCCCACCACCAACACAACGACGAACGCGAGCAAGAGCATCATCAAATACCTCACCATCTGCCTCCTTAGGGATCAAATTGAGAACCTAGAAAGAAAACAAAATTTTATTCAGACACCATAACAGGATCATTACAACAGGACCAAGGCACATATACATGTCTATTGTTAGTCAAGCTAGATCTAGCCACCAGAAATATATTACGAACTGCAGCTAGATAAAAGTAATAATAGAAGATAGCTTTTACAAAAGATTCACAACTACAAGTACATATACCCGAACTCCACAACCCCCAGTTGAACTTTTCTCAAGAGTCAAGTAGCCATCTGACTAGTCTTTGAGAATCTCAGAGATAACAGCAGTTACTGCTCATTATTGCAGATATAGTGCACAACTCTTAGAACACTCAAAGCAGCTAATGGGCAATACAATAAAAGAGAAAACAAGATGAGACAAAGTGATACTATACACAATAAATTTTTCCAAACTAATACTACAAGCGTCTCTGAATACTTAAAATGCAAGCAAGTTACATGTGTAATTGGGAAATCTGACTACCTGTTGGAAAGTCCGGCGATTTACAAGTCTAACCCCCAAGCAAAAGACACGAGCATCACATCCTGTTAATATAATTTTGTTAATTCCATCTCTGGAGCATGGTGTGATCTGTCAAAACATCAAGACATAAACTTGAGAGAAGCATCCAGGAAACCGAAAGCCTTTCTGTATGTATATCAATAAGAAAACCAAGAAATGGCAAGTAGCAAACATGAAATACAACTACATTAACGTATAGTTATTGAGAGTTTTGCCAGCAAATATATGTACAACTATTCTGCCACTCCCAAAATGTAGTAGATAGAAGAGTATGCATAAATGAGTACTCACTATTGGGCCATCATCTCGGCCATTTGCACCCAGCAATTGTGAACCAGGTCTATTTATGCACCGTACTGGAATTCCTGTCGGTTCAAATATAATTAGAGTTACTGCACTGACAAAAAAAACTCTAACAAAATTAAAGCATGTGAATTTAGTTATTTTATCATGTTTGTGGATATTGTAGTTTTTGGAGGAAACAAACAAGAACAAAGACAGAAAATACATTCAACCTGACAAGGGTACAAAATAAAGTCAAAAACACTGTTCCAAGTTTGCTTGCGCCTGCGAGTTCTACAACTGCATATTCTATATCAAGGCTGACCGGGCCTTTGCATTGAGAAGAAACATATCTAACACATAATATGCTGCCCGACCCAGAACGAATTACTGGAGAAAGATATACTTTCAGCACTTAATTCCATGTGGGTCAGGATTATATAATGAAGCATGACAGAATAGAGCATACCATTGACCTGCAAATCAGCATACTGAGGCCATTGCATCCTAAATTGTACCTTGTCATTGAGAAGCACGCACCAAACCTGAAATTTTTCCAAAATAAACAACATGAATACATATTAACTACTTATAAGTTATATTCAAGTCATCACTCAACCCAACAACCTGAACATCATATTCCTGCTTTAGCAATAAGTCTCTGTCTGCTCTAGTAAGATGAAATGTTTTCTCAATCCTTTGTATAGGGCTCGTGCTGAAAATTTGTAAAATGTAACAAGTGATTCACAAATAGTTTCCATAGTTGCATCAACACAATATATCAATCTAAAAGGCAGTAGTATGTTCACAATAGAACAAGCAATTATAAAAGGCAAATCCAAGTTATAGAATAAAGAGGACAAAGAAGAGCCATAATAGCCATGCCTAGTTAGAAAGCACATAACAAATGCTCCTAATGAGTTTATATGTTTAAAATCATTTTTAGAAGAACACCCTCGTCGTCCCAAAAGAATGTCTATATTAGTTGAGCAGTCAAACAATATATCTTTGACTATGACTGTCAAATATACTTCAGATGTTATAACCATAATAAGTCGTGATTTATTGTATTTTCTGCAGTTCCTTAAAAAAGTTTCTTTTATGAAGTAAGGTGTTATATTACTGGCATCAAGAAGATGCAAAAGAGAGTTAGCTCCATTACAAAAAGTTCTATATCCAGTGCAGGGAGCTAACCAGGAAACAAAAAACTCGGTTCTCAAGCCATAGTAAGAGAGCTAATGAAATCCAGTATTATCAAAGGCGCAAAGCGCAAAAAAGCTCTAAGGTCTGCTGGGGCTTTAGGCGCAAATAAAGTGTGGGCTTTAACGAAGAAATGCGCAAAGGGAGAAAAACTACAGATATGTATGTGTAGTCTAAGACTAATATCTATAAGCTTGAATACCAAATATATGGACAAACAAATTAAAGAAAATTTACAATAAAGTGAAATATCAATTGTTTAGCGTCGCCTCTTCCGAATTACGCTCGTTGGCAAGGAAAAGTATGCCTTAGAGCCTTGATGACAAAATTGCGGCGCCCGCTAAGCGAGGCGGAGCGCTCAACATATTGAGCCTCGCTTCAGGGCTTATGCGCGCCTTTGATAACACTCATGAAATCTAGAATAGAACAACATCATTTACAGGGGAAAGATTACTCCAACTAAATAGATGTATTAGGCATTTGGCTTTCAGGGAACAGTTAGGGTTTGAAATTCCATCAAAACGTCTGCGGTTTCTTTTTGTCCAAATACACCAAAAAGTACATGCTGGGATCATCTGCCAGAACCTTTCAGAGTAAGATCTCAATGCAGTTTCTTACAACAATAACAACAAACCTAGTGGAACCCCACAAGTGGGGCTTGGGGAGGGTAATGTGTACACAGACCTTACCCCTACCTAATGAAGGTAGAGAGGTCGTTTCCAATAGACCCTCGGCTTTCAATACAGTTTCTTAAATGCAGTAAATTCTCACTCTGAAAACTAAGGAATCAAGATCCAAATTCACACCGACAGTTAGATGCATTGATCCTCCTATGCCAAACATCCTGCATACGTTTTGTGATAGGAGCAGCATTCAACGAATGGATGTTTTTATGGTCTGGATTACAACTTTGACAAAGTAGACAAATGCACATCAGAAATCAGCGTACCAGACAGAGGAGAACAAGCCAAAAAAAGTCATATATTTTTTTTTTGTATTATTCCTAAAGTTTAAAGGGATAATAAATTAAAAAAACTTCAATTGGTCCCGAGTATTCAACTGCACACCTAAAGATAACGGGGTCCTACGAATACTCCTAGACTGTTCCAGAGTTGAATTATTACACCATTTTCTGCTGACATGGGATAATGTATTCTCCATTTAGGCGCGTGAAGAGAAAAAATCAGGTTAAAATTTTATTGTTTACACCATTTTCTTTTTCAAAAATATTTTCCGACATATTAAATAACCTTTCCTTGATCACTTCACCCGATTCTAACTAGTGTTAATTATCTATTAACACCAAAGTAAGCATTAATATTCTTATTTTTTAGATTGTTTTATACTTATCCGTTTCCTTTAATGTTTGCTCATTTTATTCTTTTCCTTTTTCACATTCTCAGCCGGAACATCCATTGTCGGCAACACGAAAACCTTTTTTGGGGTAAAAAACAAAGCTTGGGTGTAATATGTTTTCCGGCAACTCCTCTTCTATCTCTTTCCAGCGTCTTATTTTTTTCCAAAAGCTCCTCGTGAAACCCCTTCAACTTCAGACCTATAGTGAAGAACCACTGAACCAGAAACCTTGGCTGGATAAATCTTCTCCAGCAAGCCCTTCTCATTCCTTTTTATTATTCTCCAAAACACCTCACAAAAACTACCTCGAACCAGATCTGAAAATGATTCTGAGGACTTGATCGATTAGAAATCAGTTGGCCACAAAGCTCCAGTACAGAAATGGGGAGAATCCTTCTGTGAATGGCATCAGCGTCCATGCGGATGTATGTTGGTTATGACGGTGAATAAAGGTGGGTCTTTGAAGTGAAATGAGAGGAGGGTTGCTAGGGTGCCATGAAGGTATTATGGTGGATATGGAAGTGATTTAATTGCTGGGTGCTTTACTGTGTATGGCTATCAATGGGTGTCTATGTTTAGGAGGAAGAAGGTTGAAGGTGGAAGATGGTGGCTAGTGTATTTGCGTAATGCATGAAAAAATGGGCGTTCTTGTGATAGTAAAAATCTGAAAGAAGAAGAGAAAAAGAAAAGTGAAAGTTTATTTCACAACTCAACATAAAATCTGGTTGTCTAGTAGAAAGGGGGGGAGACTTTGAAAAGGTCTCACGGGATAATAGGACCCCCGCAAAGTTCAGGTGTGTAGTTGAAAATTAGGGACAAGTTGAGAGGGGTATTTATGTATTATCCCTACTTTAAATGCTCAATATGACTTGGATGTAACTAAATGTGATTCAAATTAAAACCTATTTATACATGATGCAGATCTTACGTTGTCAAATATTATTCATATTTAACTTGACAAATACTTCGGGCTAAGGACATGGGGTAGATTCAAATGCAAAAAGAAGATCTGTATCATTTAATGATAGCATAACTTGTACATGCACAAGATACAAGACTATCATGGCCCAATGCAAAATGCATTAATCACTCAAACACCAACCCATTGCTAAATGAGATAAAGAAAAGATCTTGTCCTATTATTTCCTTCTTTGGGCCTCTCTTCTACATCAGACAATAGCAGGGAGAAAATGGAATTGCACCAACCTGTTTTCCTGGAACCAAACCCCATCATATCCTTTTTTTAGGGAAAAGAAACAAAAATCTCCTTTCTTAACAACCACCAAAACAGGCATTAAAAACTACGTACTGTGACTTTGTTGACACAGCTCAAGCCTCAAGAAATTAACACCATAAACAATGCATAATTTAAACTCAATAAGAAGGAATAGCAGCAGAACTATTTCTGCACAGAATAGCTTTACAAAATTAACAGGGTAAAGACAACTCACCCATCTACAGGAACGCTAGTAATAGCCAACTTAGCAGGATATAAAGGGTTTGCCATCGTCGCCAAAAAGCTGCATATGGATTATTCCATTAGTGGAAGTCAAAGCATTTACAATTATGTAAGAAAGAGGCAACACCTAAGTACCATATGCATAGAAAACGAAGCGTCAACTCTGAAGAGTCGTACAAAACCCCAGCCTCGCCTTTAAGATTTTACTCCCATACAGTGGAGATCCCCGTTTAGTACCCACTTATCAACATATAGTAACAATGATGAATTATCAAAACCAAATAAAAGCTCCAGAGTCAAGAGAAAGCCTAAATATGCAATTCCTATGCTTAAAAGATGTCAGATCTACAACAAAGATTAAAAAAAAATCAAAAAAATCAAACGGTAAAAACTCGTTCTAACGAATATAAATATTTGCCATCTGTTTAAAGCTAAATTCCCCAAAAAGGAAGAAAATATAACTGAATATACATGACTCAATGGACTATGGCCTTTAACAGAGAAGAAACAAAATGAACTTGCACCATAAAATCCTGTAATTAAGAAAATCAGACAAAGCGAAGTAAACAGAAAAAAAAAAGTGACCACTTACGGGTCCGCACGACTCAATCTGCACAATTCACAGTAAAAAGTTTCAGGAGGAATTGGCGGAACACCCCCTTCCATGGGCTTTTCTGGAACGACGACGCAACTCACATGTTGCCATGTGCGGCATCTTCTGTCTTCACACTGCATGCAAACTTTCGTTATACACCAAATGCAGTGTATTGAATAAAAAGCACCAAAAGCTTTAAATACAAGGGCTGACAGCCTGACAATATATATTGATCTAAGTTGCTCTGACACGGCAGCTTAAGTGCCGCACCCGTTTCGACACGACACTAGTATGGATGTGGTATGGGATCTGCACCGTATCTGGTCAAACATTTTTTGAGTACTTTGACCACGATGGACGGAAAAAACCGAGACGAGATATAATTTGATTCCCGAAATCAGAAGCAAAACCAGGATAAATTTGAAGAAAGTGGCATACATTATCTAGGAAATCAATCTTTTACTTATCTACAACTTGAGAATAAAAAAGAAATCCAGACTTTAAAAGCTATACGTAAGTATTCCATAAAATTTCTCATAATTTAGACTGAATTATTTTTAGCCGGACCCATTTCCATACTAGGATCCGTATCCCCGAATTACATCTCGAAGGATCCGACCTCTAGATCCGCACATGTGTCCTAGCAGCTTAGATATTGATACATCATCCCATACATGGAACACATATACCCCCGGTGCAACAGAAATAGAATGAACATATAATTTCTGCTCAAATCATGCGGCAATGAAGAAGATGAAGGTATCTCCATACTAATAAGGTGATACTCAGAGATTAACACAAAGGTCAGAAATGAAAACATCTCAATTTTGGTAGAGGCCTAAACCAGAGGAGAAAAACCTTGTACAATTGAAGATGCTTGGCATACAAAAGCAACTAGAAATTTTCTTTGGAAGAAAATCTGAACATGAGAGGACCTTTCCTCAATCAAGGCAATCCACAGTATATATTTCTACATGTACAAGTTTATTTCCATAAATAAGGCTGATGAAGAGAATCAGCACAGAAGTAAAACCTGAATCATTGTTTCAGTTTGTAATGAGCTTCCACAGGGACATCGAATCTTCATCTGGTATGTATCTTCAATTTCCTCTTTTAACTTTACATTACTGCTGTCTGAGACAACTTGTGACTTAGATGCTAGGTCAGTTGCTCCAGACACTTGCATTTTTCTGGAAGAAGCAACAAATATCAGTATCACAAAAACAAAAATCGCTGAGTAATGTCTACAAAGCAAAAAATCTCACTTCTGCTTTATCTAAGTTAGCAAGGAAAAATTTAAATAGAATCATGTCCCACTGATGCACATGAAAGCTTGAACGAAGAAGTAAATATAAGCTTATTTTTCCGTAATGCTCTGCAATAGACTCTTTTCTACTGTTACTTAACAGTAGATCAAGATCAGGACTGCTTCGTACCTGTAAATCCCATCAACAAGTTTTGCAACCTCTTCCTTTCCAACACTATTTTTCTTTGCCCACATTACCGGAACTGTTCAAAATCACATAAATATGTTAGCATTAGCGGTCCAATACTACTTTTCTTTGCCCACATTACTGAAACTATTCAAAATCGCATAAATATGTTAGCGTTAGCAGTTCAACATGTTACAACTAGAGATATGATTTGCTGCACAAGCATAAAAGTCAACATATTCACAATAGGAGCAGGATATTAGAAGTACAGCAAGTATTTCACATAGAAATTACATGGAAATAGGAGGAACCCTCAACTTTAATTGTGCACCCAACGGGCAACCAAGGCAAGCAAGAAGCAACAAAATTAGCATTAGTTGTTCAATAGGCTACTACACTTAGAAATATGCTTTGCTTTACAAGCATGAAAGGAAACACAGCCCAAAGCAGGATATTCGAGTATAGTAAGTGGAGTTTTAACATAAAAATTAAAGAAAAGTAGGAGGAACTCTCAACCCGAATTGTGTGCCCAGGCCAAGCAAAAAGCAAGATAATCACAATCAATTTAGTATCTCAGTCTTTTCTTTTTCACAAAGGGAAACCAAAACTCATCGGAGGATTTGTATCCATTGGACAAAGTTATTTATTTGTCCCTTCTTCCCCATATGGATATATAATAGGTTTTCATTGAATGCCTCCAAGGCATATACTTGGATTTAATCGATGCTTTCTGAACCTCTATAACCTTTTCTTCTCACATTTATTGAAGTCATAAAAATTTAACTAACAAGAAATCTGTGTTCACTGATGTTGTTGGAGTTTTTGTAATTGCAACGCTTTTCTCAAGGTGCGAGTTATCCATTTATTGAATGTAACCCAAAAAAACACAAAAATAGTGCTGGTTATGTACAGAAAATATTACAAGCAAAAAAAAAACTATTTGTTACTAGTGTAAGGAACTAGCAAATCCATCAAAGTGTGCATTTTACTGAAAATCTTAAGTGAAAGAATAATATAGCACAAAACTTTCATCATTGGCAAAAAGTAAAAATTTCACATGCCAGTCAACCTAATCCTATTAGTATCAAATAAGTATACATTGCATAGATTGTGTCTGCTCCTTAGTTATTCAGTAAGTTTTGTATATGACCAGCCACTTTTGTTGTATATTTTTTGCTATGCATCTTCTTGATGCCATTTAATGAAATTATCTAAATTCATCAACAACAAAAAAGGTATACATTGCATATTCTTATGTTATGTATATGTATATATAACTTTATAGCAATATGTTTTGAAAAAATAAAGACATTAATATATTCATCTATACATATTAACGTAAATACTTCTTTCCATATTTTTCAAAATCTTATTTTTAAAAAATAATAAAAATTAGCAAATTGTAAGTTATGCTCTAGGCCTCGAGACTTATGCCTTGTCCCATGACAAGAAAACGCCTCACCGTGTGCCTCCATCTTGCAAAACACCGGCAACATCAATAAAACAGGTAGAGACAATATACAATCGAGCTAGAAGTATAGAGAAAACTACGTGACAATGAGTTAGCCAGAGTTTTGCTCGACATCATGTGAGAATCTGAGTATCCAATCCAAAATAGTAAAGCAATGAATGTAGTAGACCTTTATAAACCCTATACTTGATGTAGAAGACAGTATTGATCTCTAACAAGTAACAATATAATTACTTCGATTGCACCAAAAAGCTAATAGCAGTAAATATTTCTTCTCAAGGCTATCTTCAGCTTTAACTTTGCCTTCAAACCACCTTTATTTTCTTTCCTTCAACAGCACCCGCAAAATACATAAACTACGAGGCAATGCAAAACATGATGATTTTGCCTCAGCTCCATTTTACACATATAACATCTTTCCAGATATGCATCCCCCTCTTTTACCAAATAAGATGAGTGAAATTAGCTTCATCAGATACCATCCAAAACAAGCAACCTTTGAAAGGGTTTTACTCCTCCAAATCAACTACTACGGTCAGAGTGTCGGAGGATTTGAAGATTGAAGAGTATGTACAGCCCGTCCAGTGAGTCAGGTTTTTGCAGAGTAAGACCTTCCTTTTTGCAGAGTAAGACCTTCTACAGAATCCTCTAAGCAAATGCATCATTCTTTCCACTACATTCTTTACAATTTCCTTGAAGATAATCCTCGATCTCCCATCCTTCTTGTTATGAACTGTCCAATAATAGCCACAGTGTTCAGTTCAAAACTAAACAAAATTGATATTAGAGTGGTATGTCCTAACCATGCATCACGCCAGAAATATAAAACCATCATCCGTTTTGAAATTTGTTCAACCATCAGCTGCTTCAGCATATGTTCTTCCACAAAATTCCAAATATTTCCTTATTTGCTAAACACCATGGGATATGGTTACTACATTTGTTCACTATGAACCTTCGATACCATATTTAGTTTGGACTTTTTCCTACAGTACATTCGCTTCTTAGCTACTCTCCGCGGTCACTTGAAGAATAGGTTTATCTTGAAATTTCATCTTTCTAATTCCCAATCCAACCTCCTTACTTTTTCTCACTGCTTTCAACCTTGCAAAATGGAAGTCTTCTTCTCCTTGTTTCCATTCCATAAGAAATCCATCCAACTCATGTCCAACTTCTTCTCAACAGTAGCAGAAGAAGGAACAGCGACATTGTGTAGGTTGCAAGGAAATAAAAGCACTGTCTGTGAGCACCAGCCTTCCACCGAGAGAAGATCATATACAACTGCCTCAAAAGCATAAGAAAGAGGACGATTTGGCCTTTGGAGGAGGGAGAGCTCAGACATAACCTAAGTTGGTCGATCTCGGGTGCGGGTATCCGATACGGGCATGGATCAGAGTCGAATTCGGCAAAATTTAAATTTTAAGATTCCAGGGTGCGGATCCAGGTATAGATACAGGTCAGGGATTCAGCTAAGAAAATTCAACATTATAAAAAATAGAGCTATAAAGAGAAAAAGAAAGTCATTCAAGGCCTTCGACCAACTCTCCATCTATATCACTGCTACTGTCTACCACCCAGTGTTGTCAAAGGCACGCTTAAAGCACGCTTAAGCCCTAAAGCGAGGCTCAAAGCATGTTGAGCGCTTCACCTCGCTTTGCGGGCGCTTCAGTGTAGCATCAATGCTCTAAGGCATACTTTTCCTTGCCAATGAGTGTAATCATGAAAAGGCGACGCTAAACAATTGATATTTCACTTTATCGTAATTTTTTTGTCCATATAATTGTTATTCATGCTTATAATTATTAGTCTTGGACTACCTATACATATTTATATTTTTTCTCCATTTTTCGCCTTTTTTCATTAAAGTCCATGCTTTATTTGCGCTTTGCGCTTAAAGCCTTGATGGGCCTTAAAGCGTTTTTGCGCTTTTTGCTTTGATAACACTGCTATCACCGGTCCGAACTCAAAACACAACCCCTAGAATTCTGGGTTTTCCTGAAACAACAAAAACAACCTAGTAAAATTCAACTAGTGGGGCCTGGGGAAGGTAGTGTGTACGCAGACCTTACCCCAACCCGAAGGAGTAGAGAGGTTGTTTCCGAAAGACCCTCGGCTCAAGAAAACAAAAAGACAAAAGGAGACAATATTAGTATCACCACAGAAATCATAGAAAAAATACGAACAACATGAGATTCAGAAGAAAGATGCAAAGCAAAAGCGATAGCTAGTAAATAGGTCATGCACTGAAAAGCGAAATAGTAAGACACAACATTGTCACAAGCTATCTTAGACAAAAATCCTACCAGACTAGTCTCATAACGGTACGAAGTAAGGCAAGACTCAACTACCTCCTAACCTACAACCCTAATACTCGACCTCCACATCTTCCTATCAAGTGTCATGTCCTAGGAAATCTGAAGCCTCGCCATATCCTGCCTGATCATCTCTCCCCAATACTTCTTAGGCCGCCTCTACCTCTTCTCGTGCCCTACACAACCAGCCGCTCACACCTCCTTACCGGAGCATCTGGGCTTTTCCTTTGAACATGCCCGAACCATCTGACCCTCGCTTCCCGCATCTTGTTATCAATGGGAGCCACGTGCACCTTCTCCCGAATATCATCATTCCTAATCTTATCCATCCTAGTGTGCCCGCACATCCACCTCAACATATGGGACAAAAGTACTATAATATTGAAGGTATGCCATTTCCCATCTTTAAAACCTGTTTTATTTTTAATTTTGATAAATTAAAATCTCAATTTTCCCCCCAAATTTGTCGATGGACTCAGGTCAAAGTATCTGAAGTTACTTGACCAAATCCGGGACGTATCCCACACCCGTCCCATGTCGAGATGGGTACCGCACCAAAAACGAAGAGTACGCGCAACGTAGGACAGTCACACGTATGAACTACAAAGACAATGTTTGATAAGGTAACCCAAAAAATGACTGCTAAGAAAGAGGAAGATTTGGCCTTTGGAGGAGAGGGAGTTCCAGATTTACTAAAGTGAATTTATTGATGCCACACACATGAACTACAAAGACAGAGTTTGACAAGGTCGCCCCAAAAATGAGTGCATATCACTAGTAGGATTGGTAAGAAGAAAAGAAAAGAGTAAAGAATCAACATAGATAGTAAAATACACAACAACATCAATAACTACAAATAGAAAAGGTCTAAAAATTCCCTGAAATTTCTCCAAGCAAGCTACCTGGCTGCTCACCTCGTTCATCTGAAAGAATAGCTAATATGCGATCAACAAGGTCCTACATCAAGCCAAATACGACTGTCAGTTACATACTAGTGATGCTCAATCATAAATAATTCCTAACTCAAACCTGAGCTACACTGCTACGATAAAAACAATTTTTTTATAAAGAAAGGAATAGCCAAATAGGTTAAAGCATCACTCTAAATTCTTTTTAAACTGATTACAAGATTCCACAAGTTAGTCCGATTCAAAAGGAAAAGAAGACAACACCAAAGTCTTATTACACATTCTTGGCAACAACTGATAAGAAGGACCTGCTGAATTCAAAGTGTGGTAGAAGTCCTAAAATGATCATGATATAAATAAATTAGAAGGAAAGGCTAAAAGACTGTTCCAGACTCAAACAGAACAATATGTCATAGGTACAAGTGCCCAATACGGAAGTAATGCTATTTAAGATACAGGATACGGTTTGGAATGTCAGGAAATATGAGAATGAAATAAAAAAAGAAGCAAGGTTCAGCGCATGAAACCTCAAAGAAGCAACAAAATGTTCAAACCTGCTTCTTTCCTTGCTTTGAGAGACCAAGTTGAGTAAGAACATCTTTGAGCTCCTTTACCCGAAAATGTGCCAGCTTATCCTATAAGAGACCATTGATTGTCACTTTAAAAAAGAGTGATAGGCGCATCCAATCGCCCAATGCCTAATTGTACCAAAGAAGGGCATTACATGAAATAATTAACAGAACAAAATCCTACTTGATGCACAGTATTTTTTTGTTTATAACTATAACATCCCTTGATGACACAGTATTATGATTACACTACAATGAGGAGACTGTCTTGCTTGAGAAGGTGCAATCAACTATCCCAAGCCTCCATAGTCCTCACTCCTCATAGACGGAAACAGGTTCCACCAATCAGTGTTGAAAAGACTCGTTTGAGGCGCACTTAAGCCCTGAAACTGAATTGAAGCCAAATTGTGTGCTTCGCTTGCTTAGGTAACGCTTCAGTGTAGGTTCTAAGGTGCACAGACATACGTCTCCTCACCTATGGGCCCCGTCATTAGGACACAAAATATAGTTGGTAAATTGATATATTAATAGTTTTAAAAAAATTATGAATAAGCTTTTATTGATTAGGAAAAAGTAATTATAATTTTGTTGAAAATAAACTAGCTACAAAAACCGTAAAACAGTATCTATTCATCTAAATCAGAAATTTGAAATGGCTCTTAAACTTGATCGACATGACTTCATCATTCGGAAAATTATAGTTATTTCAATTTTTTGTCCAAATAATTATTGATGGTCTTTGTAGTTATTTTTCCCTAGCATTACATACAAATGTTTTCCTTTTTCTTCGTTAGCACCTTTATCTGTTTGCTCCCTTGGTGTAAAATGTGACTGGGTGATGGCTTGGAAAAAAAAAACCTTTATCTGTTATCCGTCACAGTCGAACCAAACTCTCGAACCCGTCCAAAAGTGCACGCCTTAATTCTGCATTGCACTTAAAGTCCAACAGATTTTTTCACCTTTTGAGTACTTTGGCACCAATATACTTCCAGAACAGACCCATAATTAATATGATTGGGTTTTGCAGCCAGGTCATAGGACATTAATCTTTATCATACAAACTAACAAATACAAGAACCTTAGGAAACTGTGCGGCGTAAGCAACTTTACCGAGTACAACATCACGGGATGGGCTTGTCACTAAGCTCACATTTGCTTGCATCTGTTTGTACTATTTGTTTTCCTCCTTGCGTCAAGAGTTTGACAGGAGGTGATTTATTAGACACGAAGCATTAGACCCCAAGTGTAGTTTTACTAAAATGCTTAACAATTTCATTGCTGCAGAAAAACCCAAGCTACTACAACATACAGAAATAAACTAGTGATGCACAACTCAGACTTAACAGTCATTACCACAGAACCTTGAAAGTAAGCAAACATGACGATCGATAAGTCGAATTGTACTTATGAATATGATATGTTTTGGATGGGCTTTAGTTTACTTTTATTTACTCCCTCTGATACAATCTATGACACATTTTCCTTACTAGTCCGTTCCAAAAGAATGACACATTTATATATTTGAAAATAATTTAATTTAAACTTTCCCTTTTACCTATTACCTTTAATGATAAGTTTTTATAGCCACACAAATGGTATGATAAGTTTTTATAGCCACACAAATGGTATGACCCCACAAAGCTTTTGCCTTTTATGCTTTAAAGACCACAAATTTCAAAAAGCCTACTTTTTTATTAGATTCCGTGTCGAGACAAAATATATCAACTGAATTGAAACGGAGGGAGTAATTTATCTGACTTGAATGCTTAATACACTAACTTTTGGTAATTTTTCTATAGGTATTTAAAGGCGCGTAACCAGAATAATCCAAGTCAAAACGGGAAGAAAAAGATTCAGAAAGTCGATTTGAAGTTGGATCCACGCAAGGTTCGGCCCTACAACAACAACATCATTATTATACCCAGTGTAATCTCACAAAGAGGGGTCTAGGGAGGGTACTGTGTACGCAGACCTTACCCCTACCTTTTGTGGAGGTAAAGAGGTTGTTTCTAATAAACCATCGGCTCAAAAACAGCACAAGCACCAAAATAACGAAAAGAAATATTGTAACATAGAAGACATAAAAGAAGCAGTAGCACCAGCAAAGAAATAGGATGATCAAAGCGGGAGAAACATTACGTAGTAATAGAAATCCAAGAATATGAAAATACGAGAACACAAACTACTACTACGGGTATGGAAAGGAAAACGCTCGACTACCTACTACCCTCCTACTCTAATATTCGACCTCCGCACCCTCCTATCAAAGTTCGGCCCTGCAACGAAAAAATGCTGCACATAGGGCGGAGCTAGATTTGTGTTGCTACCAACAAATACAGCACAAATCTGTGTTGTAACGAGAAAGAAATCTAAACATGAAATCTATGTTGCAGCGCAAAAGCACAGTGCCAATGGACCAATCTAGAATTTGTACTTTAAGGATATTTTGGTATTTTTGACATTCCCCAACCTTATAAATACATGTAATCGTCCCACAAGTTACGGATCTTAGTTTTAAGGAAGTTTTGAGCAAGGGAACTTGGGAGACAGATCACATTCTCCTAATTGGATTGTAACGTTTTCTAACTCTTCCTTTCTTGTGATTTATAATAACTCCTTTATGGAGTAATTTTTCTTGATGGGAACTTGATGGTGTAATAGTTTTGACTTTAGTTTCTTGAATTAATATGTATAGTGTATGTTTGACGGCGAATCTTTCGAGATTGAATCTTAATTTACTCAAAAGAGGAATTAAGCGGGAATCGTGTACCTAAATTGTTGTGGTTTTCCGATAAACCCATGTATCTGTAAGAAGAATTGGTTCTAGGAGTGTGACATTGAAGTTCGAGAAAAGCTCCATTGTTATCTAAAATCCATCTTTTACAAACATGCATATAACTGGACTCTTAATGCCTTTATTAGAATCTTTAAGCTATAGATATTCGAGAGAAAAATTAACATAATTGGTGATACAAATAGACAATTATATTCGTGAAAAGTAATCAATATTAATGTTCAAGAATTACCAATCAAGGAGCAAAATCTAAACTAATCATCGTAAGTGGATTCCCCACTTTATTCCATTGGTAAATCTCTTTATTAGTTCAAAACTTTGGATCACTTAACAATTGTTTTCGGCCACCAAGAATACATTGATTGACAACTATTTCAGTCATTGTGGGATCAATACATAAACTATACTACATTTGGCCAGCACAAGCTTATTGTTAATATTGGTGTTTTGCACTCGTCAACTATCATAAGTGTGACCCAAACTGCGCCATAGTCCCAATGTTAATGAATCCTTAAGCCTATCTCGTATCAATATTAAATAATTCACTTGTTTAAGAAAAACTACAAATTCTCTAAATCTCGCACTTATCCTATGTGTATAACTATTGTGACTAATATAAGTGCCAACTGTAAAACGAAGCAACAAATTCAATGACATACGACAAAAGAAATGCGCGAAAATATAAATTACTATAATTACCTGGCGGAAAGTTAGAAACTAGAAATTCTCTAAATCTCACGCTTATCCAAGTATAACTTTTTTGTATTGTTACTTATCCGAGTATAACTAGTACGAGTAAAATAAGTGTCAACTGTAATAGAAAGAAAAATTCTAATTACATTCTATAAAAACTAAGTAATTACCTTGCAGCTAGTCAGCAAATCCATTTTTACACGCCTCCAGATGTTAATCAAAACGCAAATGATACTCCGGTGTTGAAAATACTGAATGTGTGACCTAATAATAAAATCACCCAGAAAAAACACCAATCCAGTTTCCAATTATTACCAGAAAAATCAAATTTCTAAGAATTTACTTTCAACAAAATTCCTTGCTAAAAATCAAACGCAAAAAATGGCAATTCATTATAAATTGAAATACTGATCAAGAAAACTGACGAAAAAATTACCACGGTGAAGAGATTAAAGGATGATAATTGATTTCTATTAGCGTTTTTCAGCAAATAGCTACTTCACGATGATTAAGCTTCTCTCTTCTACTTCAGAATTCAGAATTGTTTTTGGATACTATTAATTACGAAGCTGTAATCGGATTACTACCAAAAATTACGGACGTATAGTTGATTATCAAATCCGGTTTGTTCCATGCAAACAAATCCGGGTTTGGTTCGTCTAATCTCAAGTATACCTGGCCGTATCATGATGCACTTAATTTTCTTCTTTTTTTTTTTCTTTTGTGGCTTGGTTTGTCACGTTTTTTTTTTCAGAAATAAATAGACTAAACTGACCGTACTCAATTGATTATTGAGTTTTTTTTTTATAAAATCGTATGTTTTCTGTTAAATTAATAAATAATAGGGTAAGTTTTTTATTTTATCAAAATAAACTAGAAAATTATTGAACCGTACTGATAAATTTATAAATAAAAATATATTTCATATAATAAGTAAAAGAACATTAAAAAAAATCCTAGGGCCATGGAATTATGAAAATAGTTATAAGCCAACAAGTAATTAACATCGTAAGTCTCAACTCCCAAACCTATTTTGTTACTCATGTTGAAAATAAATTAGTTCCGACATTTTGAGTTGCAAACCACAAGGTATTCTAAAGATTTTGAGTAACAAGTAACATAGTATTCCAACAATTTTTAGTAGCATTCAATAAGGGTGGATATTTTTTCCCTCGTATGATTTAGATTTCACGTGTTGAATACTTAATCTTCTAATAGACTCTAGTGTTTAGTCTCAACCTAATTAGAGTAATATGTTTTCACTTGTGTGTTTTATATTTCTCTTGTCTTTGCTTAAGTTATCTTGCGCTGCTATTGCGATAGATCTTATCCTGGTCATCTTTCATATTCCTTGATTCACCATCTTAAACAGTAAAAATGCCATGAGAGTTTGGTCAAATCCTATACAAGTAGGCATGTCGCATTTTAACTTCTACTAGTATATGCGCGGATGGTACTTTTGAATATTAGTATGACAATTTTGTTCTTACCATATAATCAGAAAAGAAAAATAAATTATTAATGTCATATTGTTAATGAGAAGCAGAATGTATTAGATATTAAAGTCACTAAAGTGACATGGGGAATGTAAGTTATACTCTATATAAAACTCACATTCGGTAGCAAAATGTCAGTAAGAAGGTTTGGGGAAAAAAATCAAATTGTAGAACACCATCAAGAAAGAATTTTTTTGTCAAGCCACATGAGACAATGACTGGCCTTGACTTTTATTAATTGTCATGGCAAAAGATACAACAGTTAAAAATTGTCTTCGCTGGAAACCTAGTGTCATATTTGATCACATCTAATGATCACAATTTACCATGTAAGAAACTCCATATGAGACAGTGCTACTTAGGTCCTAAACATGTCGAACAGTACAAAATACACCCTACAGAAGAAAGACAACAGTGATGTAGTGAAATCGTCAAATTAGCAGCAATTAGTTAAGGCTGCATCAGAAAAGAATAACTCGTCCCACATGACACAACAACTAAAAGAAGACCCTGCCTAGAATACAATCAAGTTTTGGTTCATCCATCTAATGATCACAGTTTACCATCAAAATTGATCTAGACTTCATTTCGTTAGGTTTAATGCGCTTCACCCTTGAATATAGGAGAACTCCAGCAAGGGCCATTCCAGTGCCTACAATAGAAAATGAAGAAGAAAATTATTATCTTGTTGTAAATAAAAAAGATAATTTCTAACTTTTTATATTCCACATGTGTTCACTCGAGCTGCCATCTGGAGGGATTGGAATAGGAAAAGGGGTTTCCTTCTCAATCAGCTATATGATGACAAGTATAAAGTGTAAGGTGTCGTACCCAAACCGTTAATGAGAGAAACATGTGTGCGAAAGAAGAGCACAGAAGTCACAATAACCACCACTCGCTTCACACAGTTGCCCACATAATGAGTAACAGGAGATACCCTCTGCAATATCATGTAAGAAACCTGTACCAATACTTGGTGTCAGCAAGAAATACCATAACCAGCTGTCATCGCAAATGAAAGTGACACAATTTTCAGTAATTCATGAAGAATTGTCACATTGGTTTATGAAGTCACATAAAACAAATAAATACTGTACAATCTAAACTCGCTAGAACTATATATGTAATTCAAGAATAATAACTATAAGAACAAACAACAATTAGATGGGCAATAAAATTGGAAAAAAAACATATTTAAGTGAATTAGATCGTTAGTAGTGTAGTCTAAAAGACAACAGTAGAAAGCAACTGTCACAGCCCTTTTTTACCAACTTCCCTCTTAAAAATAATAAAATGATTTGTGAAGATCACAAGGATTTTCAATTAGAAAGTGACAAAAATTTATTTTCAAACGATTTCAGAGTCGCCACCTGACATTGATTTCGGTGTGCCAGGTCACCATTTTTTTTCTTTAACAAATGGTTTTTCCTTTTAAAACACTTTAGACTCTAAAACTGACTGCACCAGAGATTCAGGTAAAGGGGCTCATTTGACTCGGGGAGAAGGTGTTAGGCATTCCCCGAGTCCCGTAACTAATACGGTTGCGTACTCGATCTAGTTAGCTTTTAAAATATTCGAATTGAGGTAATAAACACAGGAAAAAAGGAAAGCAAATACGAAAGAGGCTCGAGGTCGTCCCCACCTAATAAAAGAAAATACAAAAGAAAAATAAAGTCTTAAAACTAATATATACCATACTTCTTCCACGAGGTTCGTCATGGCCTCCAAATACATGTTACAGGGCTTACCCCGGATAAAAATATATACAAATCCTTCGGGGCATTCCCCGGATAAATTTAACTAAAGGAACAACCTCCCGCCTCGAAACTAACAAAAAATCCTACGACTTGCCTACCCAAGTGTGGCCGGCCTAAACATGCTACTAGCGATAAAAAATAATAAGAATAAAATAAAATAATATTAAGTTTCTTTCATAATTTATGACCAAGAGCCAATTCTGATTTTTCATGGATTATTTTCCCGACCCAACACTTCAAAGTGACGCCATTTCCATTCAAACTAATCTTTCATGTTTTCATTTACAAGTGTATAGAACGTATATTATAAAACATAATCCAACAATTCAAAGAACGACTTAAACAAAATCACAGTAAGGCTAACCAAGATTAAGTCGTAACAGATCAACTCAACCACAAAGTTCACAAGAAAAGTGAAGAAAAGGAAAAGATATGAACCTGAAAATTAGCTTGATTGACTGAAATTTTAAGTGAAATTACACGAGCAAGATGAACCAACTGGTATGGACGAGATTGGAAACTGACAGAACTCGAACGAACCAACCCCAAACAGCAACACCAATCAATCAACTTCGATGTATTCAAGGCCGTTATTCTTGGCTCTCAATCGTTCTCTTTTTCAAAACTGATGTCCGAATTTTTTGTCCACATTTTGTTTTTGTTTTTTTTTTGTTTTTGTTTTTTTTCTTTTGGATCTGCTGTTGGCGGTGGCGTCGCTCGCCGGTGATCAATTCCGGCGAGGGAGGTAGTGGGTGACGGCTTTTGGTGGTGGGTGGTTGGCGTCGCTTGCTGGTTTTGTTCAAAAGGGTTGTGTGTGTGTGCGCGCATGTGTGTGTCAGCGACGGGTGGGAGGTGAAGAAGAGCTGTTGCGACTGTGTGGCTCTAGGTTTTTGGAGTTGAAGATGGAGATGAAGGAGAAAGGGGCGACGGCTGGGGGGTGGTTGTTTTTGGAGAAGATGACTGAAGGTTAGGGTCTTAGGGTTGAAGATGATGATGGCTGGACCTTGGAGAGGAGACGACGGCGGCTGGCGGGTCCCTTAGGGTTGGTGGCGGCGGCTGGGCTATTAGGGTGTTCTCTAGGGTTTGTGTTAGGTTTGAGAAGAAGCTGAAGGGTTTTTTTTGGGGTTCAAGATCAAAAACGGCTGGGGGGAGGGGGTATGGCCTAAGGGAAAAATTCGAAAATGGGCCTAAGATTGGACCTATCAAGACACAAAATTGGCCCAAAATTCATTCTTCTTTTTCAAGGGTAAAATAAAAGTATCACAATAATAAAATATAATTAACAATTGACTTTAACTGAAATATAATTAAAATGAACTTATTGTATATATATATATATATATATATATATATATATATATATATATATATATATATATATATATTTCAAATACTATACTAAAAATAGGATAGGATTAGACTAAAATCATTGCAAAATTAAAATAATACTACTACCAAAATACTAATATCCTTGAAAACAAAGCGGAACTATTTTTGTATTTTTGAACTTTATGTAAGGTAGATAAACTAAAAGTAACTAGATAAAATATCAATTATCTAAATAAAAAAAATATATTTGTAATTTTTATTTTTGTTATAAAATAAAGTAAAATAGCTAAAACTAGTTAAAGTAGCGATATTAGGCCTAAACTAAATATTTAAATGCTAAAGTATGTAAAATCTTGGGTAGGGTAAAAAATACATATCCACAGCTGCCCCTCTTTGACTGGAAACACGAAGAGTTTTCAGACAAAGAACGACGAGACTGGTTTTTTGACCCGACCCTTATTTAAAGAGACCAAAAACTAAAAGAAAGGAGAATGTGACCGAGCCCTGGTATCTGAGCTGCTACATATCCTTGGCTATAGAGGAATTAAGCCACGTGTAGTTCAGAAATGAGGAGAGCAACGGAGTATACCGAGGTGGAGAGCCGATTGAGGTGTCGTCGAGGTTCCGCTCCGCGGTCCTGTTATTACATCAAATCAAAATCTAAAAGAACTAAGCAAGCCTATCAGCTATGAGTTATAAGATTTCTATTTATAAGTCTACTGAAGCTTGATCTTGAGTCTTGAATGGTTCTTCATGCAGACTTTTTGATTTCAACCTTGATGCTTGCTAGCTGCAGGTGCTGATTCATTCTTCCACGACTTCTTTAGATCAAGACCAGACATGCAGTGCTCATAACTTCAACCATGTCTTGAGCAATTCATATCTTTCACCTGCTTTTGCATTTGGATTTTTTTTTTTTTCTGGATTGAGACTTCTTCTTTTGGTCATCTCGGATTGTCGATTCGCATTCTTAAGGCGAGCAACTGCTACTTCTACTTGAATTGAATTCTGAAATGACTTCACTCGTTCTCCAGGTGGGTGCCTGCAATCAAAACAACAAAACAAACAAAACTTTCTGCCCAGTTTGCACTAGGAAGATTTGTGAGTTGTTAGCAAAACTGTAAATAATTTAT